CCGCTCTGGAGCTAGAAGTGTTTTAGTCCATAGGTGTATGCTAACTGGGGCTAATGTTCTCTTTTCTGTTTCTTAGTTTGTCCCTGAAGGCATCTGAGGCCTGCGTCCCTTTCTACTGAAGCGTGGCATGTTCCCAGAGCCAGATACCTCCACCTCCAGTCTGGTATTTTTTCCTTCTGATGCTGAGCAGTGATATTTATTGTGACTGGGCTCTATTCTAAGTGGCGTCCAGTTGTTGGAATCACCCCTCCCCCCCCCATAGACACACACAAACCTGGAGGGAAGTGAGGAGCCCAGGTCTGAGAAGCCATTTGTGTGGGAGTCATCTTCAGGACAAGGGCTGCTGGGAGTGAAATCCACATCCACCCGTTCCCCATAGTCCTCAAACTGCTCTTCCCCAGAGATGACGGACGCAGAAGCTGATCCCATCAGATGGCTCGAGCTGCATTACGGCATTTCATCTTTTAACACCAATACTCAGGTGGACCATCAAACATAGCACAGAATGTAACAGATTTGATTGTGCTCTAAGTGCAGTTGGGGCTAGATGGAGACATTTGGAGAGGCTTCTTGGTGTTGTGTAGAACTGACCAGTCTGGTGGGGACGTGTCCAGTGTCTCAGAGTTGTTGGGGTTGTGGGTAGTGTTGTTCTTGCCCTGGTCGGCAGCGGCCCGACAGCCCTGGTTGAACACACCGGACTCTGGGAAAGGCTGCGTGCACATGATGATGGGAGGACCAAGCTTTGTTTCACCACTCTACACACAAACAACCAAGTGCACACACTGCATCAGTAAAGCAGAAGACAGCCATGTCACACAGCCCTCTGCTGGTCCTGAAGGCTTTTCTCTGCCGGTTGAGTTTTTAAGATGAACTCTACCTGTGTGCACTCTGGTTTTTTAGGCCGTGCCGCTCAGAATAAGTGTTTTACCTGGTAAATGTAGCCATTGTCTGTGACAGACTGATGGTGGGATGCATGACTGGGAGCACCAACAGTCATCTTTAAAATCTCCTCACAGCCTGCAGTCACAGCAGGAAGGAAGACAAGAGGAAAAGAGGAAGGAGAATGAGAAGAGAGACAGAAACTCATTGAGAATGGAGAATGAAGGGTGAAATAACAGGCTAGTGCTTTTCACCGTTTCATACCGTGCAACTGTCTGCTTTTGCTATTCTTACTGCTCACATAATAGCTCTTTTGTAACTTGTCTTCTTTCACTCAACATCTACACATCAAATAAATCGTTTGGATGGGCAGTGTACAGTCCCCCTTCAGCCCTCATCTCTGTCTCCCCAGACTGTAAGAATCCCCTCCTGAAGAGTATGCCTTACCTTTGATGGCAAAAACTGCATGGCAAAAGTCTTTAAAGCTGATTTTTCCATGAGCATTAGGATACAGATGCCGTGTCAGCTTCTTCACCTGCAGGAGAAATGACACCAGTCATCAGAGATCAGTTATGTCAGAAACCTCAGCCAACACACAGCTGGTCACAGGTACCAGCCACCACAGCCCCCAGATAGCATAGGAGTCATGTCACTTGCTATAAAATGCAGATTAAAGACTGTAACGCTCATCACGGGGCTCATCGACAGGCCCTGAGCACAAAGGCAGTCCACAATGCCCCCACGACACGGCTCCCTTGTCTATTGCAGGAGTTGGGCTCAACAGGCAAAAGCCCACAAGGTGATGGCCTTTCATCATCCATTTTCACATCCAAGGGGCCATAGCTGTGTTCTTCTTTGGTTCATTCTTTGTGCACTAAGCTGATGTCTGCTACATATTTCATTCATATATATATATAGTATAAATAGTATAGCATGCCGTCTATTCCAAAGGAAAAGAGACACCAGGTTTTTGGAGACACTGGCTTTTAAAGAACCTGTTTTCCAAAAGCCACATTATTTAACATTTGACTAAAAAGATTATCAGTGTCAGCAGAGCAATGGCCAATGTTGACAGAACCTCCAGGATAGTAGACCGACACGGTGAATCACATATTCTCTTCAGTCTCTTTGATTATCACGTTAGATGTGTATTTTCTCCACACAAAACCAACTCCCCCTGACTCTGGGGGGTGTCAGGTGAGGGCCAGGGCGCGGAAACAACTCTGGTATTAGAGTATTTTTCCAGGGAACACAGGTCTCATCTGTAAATCCTCTGTAAGTCCCCTAAACCCCTCAGTTTGCTGCCCGCCCCTGGGCCCCCTCCCTGCTCCAGCACAAAGGCTTCAGCTGGGACTGGACCTCTGAGCTCCTCCGGCGGGATGAGGGGGGGTCGCACCGGTGTCACCGTGCAGGACGCGTGTCTGCAGGGTGCGCGCGGACCGGCGCGTTTAGCGGCCACGCAGCGGTCAGTGCCGCGCTGCAGAGACGCGCGTGAGCCGGTAGGATATGTCGGCAGTGACACAGGCACCGGGCTGAGCCTGTCCGTACGGCCACAGCACCTGTCGAGCTGCTGCACGCACCAGCCACGCGCACACAACACGGCCCGTCCCCGCCGTCCCCATCCCAGCCCGCAGCCCCCCGGCCCCGGGGCTCCACGGCCCGTCGTCCCCATCCCAGCCCACGGTCCCACGGCTCCACGGCTCCACGGCCCCACGGCCACGGGGCCGCGGGACACGCTCAGCCCGCCCCGTCATACCTCCTCTCCTTGGCCGAACTGGAGACCCAGATCCAGCAGGTGCTCCACCCGGATGAAGCCGTCAGCATCCTCGTCGCAGACGTCGAACACCTCCTTCAGCCTCCGCAGGAACTGCAGCAGCTGCTCGTGGTCGGGGAAGAGCTGGCCCTCCATCGGGGAGAGGCCTCCGCTCCGGTTCAGATGAGGCTGGAGGCGGCCCGTTTGCCGGACGCCATCATTATCGTCCCGATCCTGAGCTCCACCGGGCCGACTGGTGCCGCTGCTGTTGTTGTGACATCAGCAGCCACGAGGCCTCACGGAAAAGGACGATCATGCACGATGTGAGACGCCGTCTATAAATACACAGCCAGTGCTCCAAAAATAACGGGAACACCTAAAGGAAACAACCCGACTGCAGACCAGGCAGGAACATGCTGTCATCGTTTAGATTTATACTGGTCGTTAATTTTATTCTCAACCCACTGTGTTCATAACAGTTTTTTAATGAGAAGATTTGAGCTGTTGTTGCTATAATGTTCCCCTTAATTCTGTGAGCAGCGTAAATCCTGTGTTTACATACAGCATCTATGTGGAAAACTACTTCAGCCTTCCACCAGCTTCTCTTCATTTCAGTGAGGTTAGATAGATAGATAGATAGATAGATAGATAGATAGATAGATAGATAG